AATTCTATTACTATAAGATTTTATTATCTACCTATCTTTTATCTATTTTTTTAATATATCTTTTTAAACATGTTCTTCTATAATAAAGCACTTTCTTTCTTCTTTCACTTAATAGCTGTGTTATTATACAATACTATTATCATGGTCAAATGAGTATGCGTTATTATTGCAACAAGCCTGGACATTAGAAAGCTTAGTGTAAATTGAAATAACTTGACAAAAAAATTATTATCTTCTAAGCTTCTGCCTCTATTATGCATTGTCTTAAAAAGTGCCTTCAAGTCCAAGCTCATTTTATTGAAATATATGATCTTTCATAGTTTTATGAAGATTATTATAAAGATGATTGCTACATATTAGAGAAATATTTTGAAACTAATTTCATTGAGCATTTCATACCACCTTGGTTTATAGATTCTATGACATCCAATCATATTATACAAGAGCAAGATTTACTCAACAGCTTCAAATCAAGGACCTCTTCTAGTATTAATGTCACTATTATAAATAAGATTATATTTTCTATCTTTGATAAAATAATTTCCATTGTCAAGAATAAAGTTTCACCTAATATTTTTTATATGCTTGGTCTACATTCCAATCTTATGTGTGTAGAAAAATTAGCATGTATTAGATATTCTACTATACTTATATCAAAATCATGCATTGTTATGACATTGAAAATTGTAGTCATATTATCTTTTGCATTGTTTGTATCTAATACAAAAAATTATACAAACTATATAAAAAAATTTTGGAGTCCAAAGTAAATGCTCAACCACTCAAGAATAATTATGAAATACTTCATATTAGATTAATGTATCTTACTTAGGCTACTGAAATGAATGAGGTTTGACATACTCCCATTGACTTATATGACTTGTAGCATAGAAGGCTTAACCATCTTAATAACAAAAAAATATATTATATGATTGCAAGACAAATAATTATTAGAGCACTTGTACTACCTTTTGTTAAGAGAATTTTTTTATCTTACATTTTAGACAAGAGTTACAAAGAAATAATTCTTAAACAAGCTAGATCTACTACCTTATGTCCATTGGAACTTCTTTACAGTGACCTATGTAGTTTCTTACAATCTATTACAAAAACAAAATGAATTAATATTTCTATAGACATCTACATTAAATTTAATGTAGATTTCTATAGAAATATTAATTCATGGCTCTACTTTCTTGCAACAAAGAATGAGATATTTCAATAATTTAATATATTTAAATTTATGGTCAAAAAAGAATTTGGCTAATAAATTTTATGCCTTTGCACAAATAAAAAAGAAGAATAACTTTCAACTTTTGTTCTTTTCATGAACTTTAATATCAACTCACAACTTGCTTCCAAATAGCATTGTAGAAAGAAAGAATATGGCATTGCTAAAAGTAGCTCAAAGTATTTTTTTGGTAGAAAAGTTCTATCATTTTTTTGAATTGAAACCATGTGTTGCCACTTACATGCTTAATAAATACTCTATAAGGACTCTTATTAATAAGAAACCATTTGAGATGCTATATGGCTTTGTCTTGATCTTTTATACTTACAAATTCTCAAGAGTACTACATATGTTCATATACTATAAGAATTTTGACACATATTGCAAGCTAAAGCAATCAAATGTGTGTTTGTTGGATACAACTTTTCAACTAAATGATATTTTTGCTACAATCTAATTTAATGTAAAGTCTTCATTAATTTAAGTATGACTTTTTTTTAAGACCACTTAAGTGATTTTTCTTTATTTCCAGTTCCTACTAATTTCTTTAATAATTTGAAATTTCTTATAAAAATATTTGAACAAGTTTAAGGACCAAACAGAGAAGTAGCTCTAAATATTCAAATAAAAAAATCAATCTAGGATGTAATTCAAACTTAATTAAACTAGAACAATGTAGATGAACTATAAAAAATCAAAGTTGCACCCATTATTGCATCCATTGCTTCTACTCAACTAATAATCAAAGTTTAACCTATACAATGTTCCACATGGAGTACAAGAGATATTCCTTCTACAAAATTTTAAAATTATAATGTCTAAATTTTTTATAATAAAAATATATAAAATAATTAGTTGGATTTAAGGAAGCAAGATTGGAACATCTTGTATCCAAATTGTTTAGATCTATTTATAGATTGAAGCAATCACCTTGTACATAGAACCAAGAAAATGATACATATCTTTGGAGTGTTAGTTGAATACATAATAAATCAGATCTTAATTTCTATTAATTTATTGAAGATGCTTCTATTGTAATGTTTTTTTTCTATGTCAATGATCTACTTAATTTTAGAAATGATAACAAATGCATTGCTAAAATCATACTACAACTCTAAGATAAGTATAAGATGAAGGACCTAAGAAAATTCAAAAAAATATTTTATGCCCAATAAAATGTTTCTTCATCAATGTTTTTACTCTCAAGAAATATTAGATGAATTCAAAATGGCAAATTGATTGCTTAAACACACTCCTCTACTAAAGGGATTCATAATTCAATTTGGCACATAGACCTCACCAATTGATACCACTTAATATTGCAAGATAATTGATAAAATTCTATTTTTTACTAATATAAGATTGAACCTATCATAAGCAATAGACATTATTGCTATAGATTTATGGCCAAGCCACAACAACATTTAGAAGCAATAAACTATATTTTGAAATATCAAAAGAAGATAGTCAATTTTGGAATTTATTTCAAGTGTACTTCATATCTTTGTATTTAAGGGATTTACGGATGCAAATTACCTTAGTTGCTTTGAAATTCAACACTTTTCTATTGGATATTTAATTAAGCTTTCATGTGAATCAATTGATTGCTCCAACAAACTAGAGTCAAATATTTTTTATACTATTATAAAGGCAAAATACAAGGCATTGTCAAAAGCTACCAAAGAAGTAATATATCTACAAAAGTTTCTCACTAAATTACACATTTTATTTCCATCCAAGATATCAGAACATTCATTAAATAAATCAATTTAGACTAATCTTTCTAAAACTTACATTCCTATGATACATAATTTTTTATCTCAATTACAATAATATGGGCTTAATTTTTCTTGCTTAATATCCTATGTTTTATGTAAGGATTAAGTACATTAAAGCAAAACATCACTTTCTATAAGAATGGATTCTTGAAAGAAAAGTCTTATTGAGATATTTTGTCACCAAATTGTAAGACATAAATATATTTATAAAATAAGTTGCTAGGCAGTGTATTGAAAACCATTATTACTTTATTAGAATATGTTATCTAATAAGATTACAAAATATGTGTGACTACATGATTCATTACCTCAAAACTCTTGATATCATATTCAATTTACAAATTGCCTTCTCTGATCATCACATCAACTTTGTAATAAGATTATCGATGGAATATTGAGCAAGAGGTATTGAAAAAAAATTGACTATTATGCTCAACCAACAAATATTTGGATGTGTTAGTTATTTAGGTACAAAATAAGCCAATAATAGTATTTAACATTACTACAAGATTAGTCAATCCATTAAATACAAACTTGTAGATGTAGGACCTTGATTAGAGACTTGTATTATCTTTTAAGTTCCAGCTTTGGTACTTGTGTTTAATTCATAATTAGACTATATCTACTTTGTTGAAATTTTCACCTTTCAAATAAATCCCATGCTCCATCTAGTTCCACTTATTCAACTATAATGAGATTAATTGTTAAAGTTAACATTAAACTTGTGTCACAGAAAGACAAATTTAAAGACAATAGTTACTTCATAGATTGTAGGTTCTTGCATTAATTGTTGAGATGACTCTTTATTGAGTTTGTGCAAGCTATCATCTCTTTTATGCAATAGCTACACTTACAAACCTTTGCGTGATAGGATAGTAATTTATAAGGAGTACTAAAGAAGGCATGAACTCCATCTTTTGGTCAAGGCATGATATTAGAATATGACATTAAAAAGAAGCAAAATCCCATAGATAGAAGCAAAAAAGGATAGAGATAATAATAGATGATGGCACATTTATTTTAAACAATTCCACATCCAATACTTGTACAAGATAATAGAAAGTTATGTTCCATTTTAAACAAACATTAATTGAATAGAAAGTTTAAAATATGTTTAAAATACTATTTTATTTACAAACATTTGAAACAATCAAAGCTCTATATTCATATCAAAACATTTTAATAAAATTTTACTATCTAAATATTCAAAAAAAAAAAAAAAAAAAAAAAAAAAAACCTGAAATTTTTAATCTTTAACTAATATTTTAAGAGTATTGCTAATGCCACCACAATTTTTGCTATTGCTACAACAATCTTTGCTATTATCACCACAACATGCCACCCACTTGATATATTTCTTTAGTTTTTTAATTCCAATTAAAAATTCTATTCATATTTCTATATCTATATCTATATATATATATATATATATATATATAATAAATTAATCTAATAAAAAAATAAAAATTAATAAGAATAAGTTGTGGTAGATAGCATTAGCACCACCCTATTTTTATGACAACCCAACAATTGGTTGCCATCATCCATCCTTCTCAGCTGGGTACCTGTTCTGCAAAATCGGGGAAAAAAAAACATATGTGAAATGCTTGATAATTTTGTATACATTTATAAAAAATAAAAAAAATAGTGAATTTTGGATAAAGAAAAAGCATAAAGACCGATCAAGTTGTGCAGAATGTATTGTAGAAAGAGTCGAGTTGCTTCGTCAACCCCGCCACATTCTGTGTGGTTTAGTAGATGGATAGTTCAATAGGTGCAGGTCCTAGAGAATTATTAGTGGTTAATGTAGAGGTGAAAAATGAGCAATTCATACTTGTTTTGAAGGTTGTCTTTATATTACCTTGCAGTTGCAGTTTCCGTCCGATATCTAGGTTATGTTTACAGACACGCAGAACAATGGTCCAACCACACAAATACGAATAAAACACAGCTATTGGTTTTTTCCACAACTGAGACAAATTCCAGGCACAAATCAGAAATCTACATGTGAACTAAAAATCCATTATCCGGGAACAAAACTCAAGTGATAGTTTGTAGCCATACAATGGCCAACTAGTGAACTTGCCACTCCTACCAAGCAGCGAACTATTACGTGTAAATCCCTTAATCTTCCGAGTCAAAAAGCTTTGAGGGTTTATGTCGGAACTCTAGAAGAACATACTCCGTACGTCAATATGAATACGACCTAGCCGCACTTTATTCATGCAGGTTTTGGTTCTTTTAGCAGGGTGAAAGATGGAACTTTTTGTCTGAGGCAGGTGTTCAAACTCAGATGATAGCTGCCAATCCGATGTTGCCAAACTCTTCCCGATCACGATGGGATGCTCGCTCTGAAAAACGCCTTGGAGCAGGATCTGGTCACATAACAAGGAAATTTATTAAAAGACTAACTCGATTGAACAAAACCTTCTAAATTATATTCCATAGACATTAACAAGATTCTTCGTCAATCCAACTTGCGTACTGGAATGGAAAAACGAACAGATTCTTACTTGTGACGTTAGTAATGACATTTGTATTCTTCTGAGGTAGGAGGGCCTTAAGCTGGTCTCCTCCAGCAGAGAGCAAAAAATTCTTGATAAGCTGCCGCTGTTCCTTAGCACTCGCACTTTTATATAATGCAGATTCAAAGGTTGACAAGCTGTCTGGGGTTATCGAAGGGAGAGCCAAAAGGACCTGTTACACGATGCATACAGGACCAATCTCAGCACAAATCTTTCATACAATCATGGAAGCCATAACTTTGGGTGGTCAAAGCTCGGGAATACAATTGGGCACTATGTAAACCAAATTGGAGCTTTCCTCAACCTCGCATATAAGAGCCTTTGATGAGTTTTAGAAGATGCCTCAATTCAAAAAGTATTCTCCAGGCGAAGGAACCAATTACTCAATTACAACACCAATTGCGAGCACACTACAGTATCCCTGGAACCCCCAATTTCCTCCCTGATTGTCTTAGATAATATCTAGCTACATATCAAAACTTCAAGCAGTCAGCTCAAATATCACAAATTAGTTCCCAATTGATCACTGTCCATAATTTACCTGACGAGGAGTTGAGAGGCGAGAGCCAATTCGCAAGTAAATATCGCGAAGTAGCCCTACAAGCTCGGACTGTGCAGATGCATTGCTCTCCAACATGAGCGCACGAATAGCAGAACTAAACATGTCCTTTGCAACCACCTCCTGCAGCTGAGAATCACTGGCCAATGCAGCCACATTTGTAACAGCAGCACAGAAAACAAGAGCCTTGTGGACAGACTCACTGTCTGGCCACTCCAGAGCATCGATTCCCACATGAAGAGCAGCTGTCGCTGCCTCTCCAAGCTGCAGTAAAAACCTATAATGTAAAACAGGCTCAATGAGTACCACATATGAGACTTTACATACTATCAACTTGCATAAAAAACTCTCATCAACTAATAAAGTGTTACATTCTATTTAAATAGGTTCAAAGAATTTGCAACATGCACCTTAATTCTGGAAATTGCGTCGAGTAGAAGTGAAATAAACTATCACTCACCAGATCAGACTGTTCCCTGTATTTAACTGCTGCAACCCTGCGACATCCATCCCCCCGCCATCCCCTTCGGATGTATCCTGTTGAGTTGTACGATTCAGTGCTGGAGAAGCTGCGGTGGAGAGCAACTGACAAGTCTCTCGCGTCAAATCCCTTAAGAGCTTCTCTTTTATGACCTCTGACTTTATCTGCTGCATAGAGCTCTGATAGTTGATATCTGAACCTACAGACCGATTACTAGGGATTTTCACTGACCCCTCTCTGATTAGGCTAGTCCAAGCTGTTGTCAGTACCCGATGGCAATGGATGAGAACTGGTGGTAAGAGCAACCTCAACCATGGATCCCACAAAGCAGCGGGGCAAACTTTCACCAGCGGAATCACGACCAGATGAAGGAGCTGACGAGTGTGATGAAGCTCCATATGTTCAATATTCTCAAGCAACGCAGTTGCCAGAGCCGCAGATCGTCCATCTACTTCAACGAAAAAACCTTCTCCAACCCGGATAGCAGCGAGTCCTAAAATGTTATACCTGTGAGCAAATCGGTTCAGAAGAAAAACAAGCTTACTCCAGGGAAAGAATTCAGAGCCTATCATGGCAGTAACTTCGTGTCTATGTCTGGTTTTATTAGAGGACAACAAATCCGTTACAACAGGACTAAATAGGAGATATTGTCAAACTATCTTTTCCAAGCATGACTTCATGGAGACCTTTATATTGAATTGTTGATTACACGTTCAATAACTTACTTTTCAGTCTATTTCACTCATTAAATCAAACGTTCAACATGGTCAGAAGTCATACCCAGCATCGCGGACACCTTTTAACCACGTCCTAATTTCTTTTACTTTGTTGTGTTCAATGTTGCTTCCAGAGTCAGCTCCTGTGACAGCACTTCCCCTAGATGGTGCCAGCTCTCCAAGGAGAGCGGCTTGCTCAGATTCAGTCATTACCAAGGCTCCTTGCACGTGAAGAGGTAAGCTTGTTACCACTGATGGGGACCACAATGCATGCATGCACCTTAAGAGCTGAACCGATACGAAGGCAAAAACTGTTAGGAAAAACAATTAATCCTAGTTCTTATAGAGTGCAGCAGCTGGACTTAATTCCAAGTCATGAATTCCTTACCGTACAGTTGTCGCAATTGATTTCTTGTCATGTGTTTATAATTTGTTAAGTATTATGAACATGGTGCATGTAAAGCCCAAAAATAGAAGGTATAACTGGTGAAATACCCTTGAAAATATTTCCACTGCCCTTGACTCGAAGAAGAGTTTGAGTTCAATAAAACACAGAATTCACTTTCCACATACCTTCAAAAGAGGCGACACCATCCATGTTAAATGTGGGATCATGGCATGACCAGTGGTCGGCGTGACTGCACCATCTATATCAACATAGTCAGCAGTAGCTGATGGATCACTGGAGGCTTTACCAACAGGACTCGTACACCTCCGAAGTGCTCGTTCGAAGAAAGTCACTGTATGGTACATCGACCACATTTCCTCGTGCGCATCAGCAATGCTCGAATCTTGAATAAGAAGTCGAACAAGACATGCAGGGTTAGCCAAGTACTTGTCTTGCCAAGCAGGTTGGATCCATTGCTGCTGCATAGGCCCAAAGAGCCAGCCTAAGACCTGCAACTGCTGCTCACTCCTGCGCAAGTAAATGAAGTTAACAACGAAAATTGAAAACGAAAAAAATTATATATATATATATATATATATATATATATATATATATGTGTGTGTGTGTGTGTGTGTGTACTTATCTAGTTGCACAATGATATAAGAAGGCTAAGAAATTACTAGATTGCAGAAGTAGAGAAATTTTAATCAAGAAATCAAAGAAGATACGACAGAATTACACAAAACAGTGACGATATTACCCTGCAGCGGATCCAACGATTAATAGTGACTCGCCTAAAAGATTTAGCTCTGATCGCACCATACGTCCTTGACTATGTAATGTTGTCATTCTTTCAGCAATACCCTGTTCATTTGATGAGAGCAAGTAAGTGGATTCACAATGAATTGTACAAGGAACTTACAAGAATTTAATCTACCACAGAAGCTGCGCATTAATTTCATTCAGCTTACTGCTCAGCTGAAAAAGATACCTGCATGTACGGCAACATGGCTGCATCCCCTGCCCTTGCTAGTCGTAGGAAGGAGGTACACACTTGAAGTCGAGCTCTCATAGTATCTTTCTCAGTATCCCCATATTCCTGTGGAAAAAAATATAAAAAATGCAAAAATACAAATAAAAATAAACTTCAATATCATGAACATCTTCGCAGGTGCCAGAATCTCAATTGCCAGTACAGATAGCATGCCAACATGCGTTCACAACAATGAAATATAAGAAAGATACTGGTATATCTCTTGTAAAAGCGAAATATACTTTTTCAGAACGAAATCACTCACTCTGGACGGAGACAAAGATGTCAAAAGCTCGAAGAGCTTTTCCACAACAACAGGAATGGCAGCTGAGGCATGCTTGAAGTAAGGACCCATGGCATCGAAATGACGCGTGTGAAGCTCAACCAGTATAGGTCCTTCCCATTTCACTGTCAACAAGAGTTGCAAGATACCTGGAAAGAACAGATTATCAGCGTTCATGGTACTTTGAGAAGTGATTTGAAAAGTGATTTTCCGGGTAGAGGGAAAGGAGAAAAGAAGAAGAAAAAGAAAGAAAAAAAGAACCCGAACATTGACAAATGTAATAAATCAAACCATCCGACAAAGAAATGAGGAACAACCGGAAAAAACTCACCTTCAAGAAGGGTTTTGAGTTCATTAGGAGATGCACTGATGGCCAAGGCAGCTGCCATGGTCTTCTCTTGTATTCCGTTCATGATGTTCTCAAGAAAGGATTGGGTGGTCTCAAGAGTCGTAACTTCCTACAAAACCAAAACCCAAAAGCTTTGTGGAGTAGAAAAAGTTACGACTGACACTTGTAACATAGACTAAATATGTATACCCTGCCTGTGCATGCATGTCTGTGTGTATCTGTGTGTGTGTTTATGAGTGTGTCTGAACCAGGGCTATAGATTATGCTCATAACAATTACAACAAGTTCGCAACATGAACAAAATTGTTCAGAGTCGACGCTCGTCAGAATCTGTTGCCTAGCAAGCAACAAGCAGGTGACTATCTACATAAACTTGGAGTGATGACACACTACACAATCAAGTAATTAAGAGTGGTTATTCACAAGCATACAAAGATAAACGACAGTGCACAATGAGGCATTCAGAAATAAGATGCAAATCCACACAAACACGCAAAACCAGCCAATACAAATATGGTCTCGTAGATTCACTAGCCAACTTACAATAGAACTGCTTGGTTCTTAATCATACCTTGCTAGATACCGATTCGAAGGTTGAACTGCTAAAAGCAACCTGGAGGCGACCGGCAACTTTGGAGGCTGCTAGAACAGGTTGCTGAGATGCAACATGACGAACGACCTCAACCTACATTTCGAGTCAGAAAGGATGGTAAGAATGTGAAATTGCATAGGATTTGCAAAGGTTGTAAATGAACCATTGGAGCAAACCTGGGAAAATTCTCAAATTTTTCAAAACATTAAAGGAGATAAACGAAAGCAATCGATAACAACGAAGGCAACTTCAAGGTGCAGTCTTATACGAGTCGACTCCGGAACTGGCTGAAGTCACTAGCACTCGAAAACTCTTGAACCCAGCTTTCATCTCCACCATCTTTAATCAATAGCCGTTGAAATGCAATGTCTAATAGTAAAGCACAAAAGTCCGGAGAGATATGAACTGCATGACTTCGCTTCTCCTTTTCCTTTTCAGTGAGCCCTTGATGATCTGTGGTACTCATAGCCAAGGACGACTCCCGAAGCAATGTCTGAAAGAAAAATGATTTCTGATGCTTAAGTAAACCAGCTTTTTCAAGGTATCGACAACCTCACCACTTACCCGCACACAGTCAAATAACTGATACCATCACAAAAGCTCTTACAGGCACTTCACATTGATGCCTAGTTTGAACTACACTGAGGCAAAATTTTCACATAACAACAAAAACTACATATCCAATTCAACAATCACACAGTTATTACCTGATAATCTCCCTTCAGTTATATGCATCCTATAAACTACAAACAATTAGAACAAAACAAACTCGACTGTAGAAGTGGAATGGATAGTCTAAGTACCGCCCAAAGAGGTAAGGCTAGAGAATGTAAAGCAAGCTTAGGATGTTGAAGGAAGCAAAGCATCTGCACACAAACAAGTAGACATAAGCAAAGAGCAAATGTAATCAAACCAGTTGAACACCAAAACTTCAACGAACACAGCTTTCAATGCTCCACTAAATATCACAAAACATGAAACGACTTAATTCAGAGAAAGGTCCAGGGCAAGACATCTAACCAAAAAAAACAAAATCAGCAGTTTCCTAACAGTATACACAAACGCAGCTAACCTGATGAAGAAAATCAGTAACTTTTGAATCATTTCGAGCAATGCAATGAAGATTTTGCAAGCCCAAAGCCACCATCGCTTCACACAGGCATTCACCAAATCGCTCAAAATCGTCATCCTTTTCCTCACCAGAAGCTGCAAGCTTATTAAGCTCAAAGAAATATGCTTTTGAAGCATTGCAAAGGGTGTCAAAAACACCCTCCATGACAACATTGTAATTTCCAGCTGATTCATCAAGTGGCCTACGCCTGCAATATGGACCGCGGAATAGTCAGGTATCACAACGTCCTGTTCCAAAACAAGGAAACCGAAGATCAAAAAGAAACAAGATAAAATTTTAAAAAGAAGAAAAATCATTGATTGATGAATATTCCTCTCAGGCTTAGTGGTCACCATACCTTCCTGCCAGAAGCTTGAATACCTCGCAAGCACTTAAGCGGAACTCCGCAGCACTCAGCAAGAAACCACATCTGCAACAAATGTCAACAATTCAAGAGAAATATTTTGTCATCACTGTGCACGAGCCATCTATAAATGACTGAACCCTTTTACCGATGAGCACTTTCTTGATCAAGAAATGCTTTCTAGACATGCTATGAGCGCGTCCTGAAGGTAACCTAAACCCTAAACCTTAAACCTTCACACGATTATGACGATTGCTGCAACATAATGTACATTACATTGAAGGATAAGGTTTAAAGCAGAACAACCAACAGGTAGAGACTCACGCTTTGATGAGCCCATGATTAGCGAGTGAAACCACAGGAGCCCACTCCGCATATGCAACTACAGCATTCAAGGCTGCAGTCACAGCTGCAGCATGTTGTGCTACAGACTCCATCTGATTTTGCTTTGCCGCTGCCATAGCTGTTCCAAAGTGATGATCTAGAAGCTGAAAGGCAACATGCCTTGTATGTAAATCATATACCATACACAAATTATATAGCAAGAACCATGATCGCCCAGAACAGAACGATTACAGAAAAGAGGCCAATTAGTTAGTAAATAACACAAACAAACAACATCTGTAACAAGTATAAGCACTGTGATTCATGGAGTTAACGATGACTTGAATGTAACCGACACTAAAATAACTGCATGCTGAAAGAAGTGTCACAATATAACTTTGTTTAACGTAAGCTTCCTATTCAGATCACCACTAACCTTGAACAGAAATGGTAAGGTTTCTGGCAACGTCTGAGAAAGACCTTGTAGCAATTGCCTTCGACGCTCTCCTGGGGTTAATGCAAGCATTCGGACATTAGGGTATATGAACGGTAAGTCACGAGATAACCTCTACAATACATGACGCGAGATGACACAGCATTAGTAAGAAACTGTTGATGAGAGCCCTTGTGGGAAGAAACTAAGAAGTATCTCTCACCGACTTTTTGTTCAAAATATACTCATGCTGAGGCAGTTTAAGGACGAGAAAATATATATGTATCTTTAATGATTTTTTTCGAGGATTATGGTGCATGGTTACAATCACTGTCTACTGCTTAGAATTCCATGGACTGCTTGTCAACTGTCCTGAAACTGGTGAGCTACCAAACAAGTGAACAGAGGGTTTCATACCATCTAAATCTTCATTATGAATAGTAACATCCTCGGGAAGCCAACGAAAGAACGTCGCGACTAATTCTGCCTGCCAAACTCCAAGTTAGATAAGATGAAATTTACTCAACCCTGAGTAGAACTCATCAATTACGTGCAAACACATGGCAAAATACGCGATCAAGACGTGAAAAGTCTATACAGAGCAAGAAAGTAACTGTGTCTCGGCAAAACAATATAGCTTTACTTTTATAAACTAAGGTGGAACCATGAACCCCAAAATATAGAGGAATTACATGAAGAGCACTGATGCTGCCCATAGCATACAAAGCAGGGAGCATATCTTTCCACAATGGTGGCCCTTCTCTTCGAGCTACCTGTCAGAGAATAAGTATATCCCTTAGCAACGAGAAATTGCCTCCATCATTTCAAGCAAAAGAAAGAAATAATTACTGAGCATGGCGCTGCGAACCTCTCGTCAATTATAATAACACCAAGAAACTCAGTTATATAAAAGGTGGGTTCGTTCAGAAAGTTTAATTTATCTAACTGGAATTGCAACATTAACATTAAAAGGTCTAATAACCAAGTAATGAGAAATTAAAATTCATTCAGAATTAGCGGGGTTGCAAAGAACGTTATAAAGAACAGATGTTTCACGAAATAGCCCACCTCAGCCATGAGAGCCGAAACTTGACTCTTAAGAACCCAAGGTTCATTAGGCTTTGCGCTTTCTTGTAACAAGTTGACTGCCATAGACACCATTTGTTGCCTCTCATCAACATTCAAACTCTCCCAACGCATCCGTATCAAATGCTGTGCAGAAAACAGATCCATTGTGTTTAGTTCAAGACACTTCCAACGAAACTAATCGTACGCATTTAATGTGCTAGTTTCTTCGATTTAAATAGCTTCCTTGCTTCTAAAACCAGATGGGTGTCAAATTCGCAAAAAACCTCCGCATGTTAACCAAGTGAGCATTTTCTGTTTACCTGAAGCAACTTCAAACCGACAAGACGGACTTCAGAAGTCCGATCGGGTTTGACCAAAGCAAAAGCAACGGTAGCTAATACATGAACTTCGCCAGCTTTCAACTGCATACAGCAATGAAGTAGGAACATGATGAACATCGCTGCATTACATTTATCATCTTTCTCAAATACAGTCATACAGAGACCATAGTGGACAATAATATTGACAATACACCTATTTGTCAAAAATATCTGCTCCTATTCAAGACAAAATAAGAAGAGAATATGTAAATCAATAATTAGAAATTGCACTCCTGCACAGAAAGTCCCACCAATTAAGCTACTCGAGAAATTAATAACAGCGTCTGGGCGATCCACAATAGTACTGCCTTTTCAAGCATAATTGAGATGACGAATGCAATAAATTACCCCTACTTAATCGCTCGACCATTCTTGATTATGAAACGCGAATCTAGAAGGATATAAATAAAGTAAATTAGGATCCAAACTACAAGGTCGGTATCCTAGCTGAAGATTCTAAAGATTGGGGTGATTCAAATCAGCTCGCGCTTTACATTTGCGATTCGCTACAAGCTCAGTGAAAAAACGGCAAAATTCATTCGTAATCAACGTCATGCTCTCGAATTTCCCACTTGCATAAAAACACGAGTGTATACAAACAGAAATTATAGAAAATGCGAAGAAGCCTAAGCTCGTAGCAGACTCCAACGACAACCCGAAAAGCACGAATTATACAATTCTGTATTGAACAGCAATACCAGATCGACCAAGTCTTTTCTTTACACACCAAGACCATATGGCACACGACTACAACGTGAATTTAGTACTCAGTGAAAAGACCCTGGGCGTACACAAGAAGTGCAGCTCTTAATACCCGATATATCAGACAGACCGGTCCATTGACCACAGTGTCTCGCAGGCCACGGAAACCTAAACTCAGGACAACTGATCGCAGAAAATCACTACAGTACGCCACGGAAAACAGAGACGGCGAAATTGGTACAATTCAGCACCTGACCTCGGAAACTACACACTCTGAGGTCTCAACTCAATGCACAGCACTACTCAATTGATTGATAATCACCAGTACCATGCATCTGAACGAGAAGACCTAGGATTTCCTAATCATCGATAAGCAATCCACCACACCATGATCAAGAAAACGCACCGATTCAAGGTACGCAGTGGCGTGTTGTCTTGAATCCGGAGAGGACTTCCAATCCAAAGCAGCCAGAACGGCCTGCACGGCCGTGTCCACTTGCAATGCAGTCCCCTGATTCTCCATCGCATGCGCTCAATCCTCGACCTCTTCAGTGCCTCAACTGAACTTCCACTTCTCTCCAATCATCGCCGTCTTGAACCTCTACAACCACGGTTCTGCAAAAGCATGCGATGCACTCCTGCGCACGAGGCAATCATTCCAATCCCTACACCTCAAGAATTACTCAATCAGGACAGCAGCACCAATTGATTCGTGAAATCAAACTGGTAGGGGTTCGAAGGAGCAACGATCCACAGCCTTCATGAGCGCAACTAACCTAAGTGGGAGGGAATGAGGGAACGAGGGAAAGAAAGAGAGAGAGGGTCTATTGAGAGGCGAAGGTGGAGAAGACGGCGATGGCGACGATGGTGGTCATGGGGGCCTTGAAACCTCTCTCCCCCTTCCCCCCTTCCCTTCCCCCCTTCCCTTCTCCCCTTCCCTTCCTTTGCGTCGAGGCTCCCTCCTCCTCTCCTCTCCTCCTCCTCCTGGTCTGTGCCCCCTTGGTTTGGCCCATTCTAGCAGGTGACCTTGGTCACACTTGTCGTATCTCTACTAATATTAGTAATACATTTAATAATCCCCCGCCTCCTCCACCATTCCAGTCCTCCATCTTTTTGTTCTCTATCCACATCCATTGCATAAAATATTAAGGAGAATATATATCTATATATATATATATATATATATATATGGGGGAATTTTAAATATATCCTAATTTTTACTAAATTCACCCACCCATCCTAACCATTGGGAAGAAAAAGAAAAAGAAAAAGAAAAAGAAAAAAAAAAAAAAAAAAAAACTCTAGATTCATTTTTCCACTACTGGATCCAAAACCAATGAAAACCAACCACATGTAGGTTGGTTTAGTAAAAGAACCTGGGTGTACACATTTATTTTTCATCATGTGTAGGTTGATATAGTAAAAATCTGTGTCTATATAACATTCCCTTATTTATATGTATATATATATATATATATATATATATAGAGAAATAAATTTGATTACAATGAATGTTATTCATTTTGTGGATTTGGTTTCAAAAATAGCAAACTTTTTCAAGGGGTTTTTTTTTATATTCATTTTTATCTTTAACTTCCTTTTAAAGTAAATTCGTATTAAATTTAAAAAATTATAATTAATAAAGTCGAATGATACCGATTTTATTTGATGAATACAAGTTACAAAACCTCGTTACTTATTCAAAATAGTATTAAAAGACGTGGCACCCAATTCGTTCCTGATTTCATGCTTATATTTAAAGGAACGACAAATATAAATGTAATTGTTTGGTGAAAGAAAGCTCTTAAATGAGTTTCCAAAGTGTGCTTTTTAAAACTAATTGTGAGTTTAATTCAATAGCTATTTCAACAATAACACTTTAAGCCGTAGTCTTTTATATCAATGTAGTTTCGAATGAGTTTCGATTGCAAATGTAGGGAGTGCAAATGATCCCAGGAGTGATGGGATATTGTTGGATGACATCAGATAAGTTTGGAAAATACGGGCTTATATTGCCTGGCTGAAAGGAATGCGAGGCAGAGGAGACGACAAAATAATCCACAGTTTTGAAATAGGGTTTGGTAGATTCTATGTCATGTAACGAGGATGAAGAAGCTCAGAGAGAGCAAGCGAAACCGAGAGAGGATGAAGCAGGGGCCCGAATGGGATGAAGAGGTGGATAGATGTAAAGCAGATGAGGATGAATGTTCTAATTCTTCTTCTTCTTCTTCACTGGGTTGTGGGGCTGTGTGTGTGGGGTTGCCGCGTTTGCGCCTCCCTCACTCCCTCTTCTTCTTCCTCTTCCTCCATTCCTTTCTGCTGCTGCATTTGCATCGGGGGCGTGGAATCCTTGATCCTCTCCTGCGTCGTTTTCATGGCCTCTGCCTTGGCACCCCCGTGTGCCGTCGCCCCTTTGCGGTGCAGGAAGCTTAATTGTGTCTACTCTTCAGGGAAACCCCACTCCTCCTCTTCTGCTTCCTCAATTGCGCCTTTCAGCGTACTTCGCAACGCTCCGCTGTTTGCCCGCGTGGAGATTGTTAGAGGAAACGGGAAGGTATGCTCTTCTTTGGTTGGTTGCTAAGGTTTCTCAGTTGGTTTCTCTGCCGGAGCGCCAACTCGAAGGTTTGTTTGGGGAGCTGAAGCTTTCGGAGGCGTGGTAGCTCCAAAAGCGTTGGAGTAGTTGTTGGAAGTGGAGCTTATTCACATGCCTTGGCTCTTGATGTCGTGGGTTACTGGTTTATCCAAGGAGCCTTGTGCGTCCTATTTTGGAACGTGAATTTATTTATTTCATCACTTGCACCCCGATGACTTTTGACTTTTGCAGAGAAACATGGTAGTACAAGCGCAAGCAGGGTTCCTGAAGCTTCTTGATGGTCATGCTCTGAATTTAGACAGGTAAGGTAGAAATGTGCTCTTATTTATTTTCGTTTTTTCTGACAATTGCCTTCCGGCATTATGTTGCTTCTGAATTAGTCTTGGCGAGTCTCTGTACTTTTCACTTGAAAGATAGATGTTAAAGATAATGAACCAAAATTAAAATTTCTGTATTTGTCCACAACCAGTCAAATTCACCGCTATAACCACACTCTTCTTCTATAATGCGCAATGTAACATTACTTTTCTTCTTCAATATTATGTGTGCGGTGGCTTTTCCCTTCGTGAGTAGCGCGTAATTTCCGTGGTTTATTTATTTGTTTTCTTTTTCTTGTTAAATGATGTTTTTGTAGTTCGCTGTTTTCATTCCGTGTGTTAAAACTCTCCCTCAAGTCAATTTGCGGGGAGGTCATTGATGTACGGTATGCTGGTGCTTTGGTGCCTATAGACTTGACAGGAGGAATATTATTGTCAGCATTGTACTCAAATGTGCTTCTTTTGTGCAGGTCCGATGAATATCGTATTGGAGCAAGAAAAACGATTCTTACAGCGAGTTATAAATTTCCCAGAAATGACTCTCCTATGTCAGGTTTACTAATTTTCCTGCTCGCGAGTGATGCATTCTAGAGTGCTGTTCTGTTTTTGAAGTAGATAATATTCAATGGGCTTGAGTATACATATTTAAAAAAATTTGGTCTTCCCTCGCGAACTATTCAATGAGAATCAAATTTCAGGAGATGAGTGCTGAAGATAAACAATCATGTTTTCGAGTCTTGGCATTGCATCTACGCTTTAAGGTTATTGACGAGGAATGTGGGCCCAGTCATGCAGTTCAGTTGGAAAGACGAGATGTACAAGCAAGAAGTCTGTGGGATTCCATTAGATCAGGGTAAGTCATACTACAGGCGTCCGAGAAGTTCTTTGTTTTGGATCCAACTGCGACATCTTTAATGAGCCGAATAGTACTGTGGAGAAGAATCTCATACAAGTGAATTCAACTTATTATCATTCATCTGCATGATCAGATGTATATCTAGCAGCTCTTTCATATTAGGTCTTGATAGTTTTATTGTGTCTAATTTGAAGTACTGCCTGCGGTTACACCTTCGTATCTCATGTGTTTCTACATACTGCCGCAGTTTTGGATTGAACAATAGTCCAACGGCAGTAATCGACACCACAGAGATTGGATTTAAGGAGGACGTGGAATTGGAAGACGAACGGGAGGTTGTGTTGGTGGAGAAAGTCCACGACGATGGAACTGTTGAGAAGATCGTTTTTGCGTCAGGTGTGGAGGTCGATGTGTATGAACTTGAGATTCTATGTGACAAGGTAGACTCTAATCTAATGGTGTATTCTGCTTTCTATTCATTGTATATGTGTAGCAGTTGTAGAGGACATGTCTGAGTTGACTCTAGCTCTAACCAGTTCCACAATTAGTGGATGCTGTGTTGGTGCATTTCAATTGTCCTTTGCTTGTGTTCTCATTTTCGTTTGTCATACATGTTTACTGTTGTGGAAAATACTTCGAAGAAAATCTTGTACCATCCTGATCATTAAGTATCCTTAGAGCATCACTGAGTTATTAATCTTGAAACTTGGGTTATAGGTTGGATGGCCAAAGAGACCGCCTTCAAAGGTTGCAGCAGCCTTAAGGAACAGCTATATGGTAGCTTCCCTTCACTTGTACAAACAAGTCCCATCTACAGGTAACCTTCTAACTCGAACCTCGTTTTGTTGTACATCCTTGTTATTATTGTCCATGTAGACCTTGAAGCCATGTGTTCTTTAATCCGCACTTTCACTTGCAAAGTCGCTTTTTATTTTATTTTATTTATTTTAAATGTATTCAACATGACGATTCATACTCTTCCTTGAATTATGGACTATGATGGAAGGAACAGATGGTGAAGATCCCGTTGTAGAGAAGCGAGAACTTATTGGCATGGCCCGGGCTACATCTGACCACGCCTTCAATGCTACCATTTGGGACGTGCTTGTAGATCCATTATATCAGGTAGTCTGCTTCTGAAGCTGGTTTTATGCTTTAAATCCAGTGTCCATTTTTTGTGAATATATTTAAATGTACAGATATTACCAATTAATGATTTTTAAAGAATTTCGCCTGAAGATAGTAAGAGTTTGCATCTGTTGAAGCTCGTAAATGTAGTAGCAGTTGCTTATTCTGGTGGATTCAAGAGCTCAAATTTTACATTATCCTGCTGCATTGGACTTACTTCTGCATGCCTCACCTTGATATTTGCAGGGGCAAGGCTTAGGTAAGGCTTTAGTGGAGCAGATGATCCGGGCTTTGTTAAGAAGGGATATCGGCAACATCACACTCTTCGCCGACGCACAAGGTAATTAGGCACAAATCGTTCGTATGAGGGATACTGAATTTACTTGACTCAATTGCTGGTGACTACTCTAAATCCAAGGTTGTATGTTTCAACATCAATTTTATCTTAACATCATTCATCTGGGAGTGTTTCGGCTTCTAATAATGCGTGATTGAGCTTCAACCTGACTATAATGGTATGGTTGTTGCAGTGGTGGACTTCTATAAGGGACTTGGCTTTGAAGCAGATCCTGACGGTATCAAGGGTATGTTTTGGTACCCACGGTACTGATGCAGTCAGCAGCATCATGTAGAAACATTTGAATAGCACGATGCAGCTCTAGAGCAGGCAAGAAAGCTGAGCCTAGTTCAAGAGCCAACAAATTGTTTCATATGTACATTTTAATCCAATATGGATAACTCATTCTTAACTCATAGCCTCATGGTTCACGCAGAGTTGGCATGGGTTTTAGAAAGCTTCAAATGAAAGTAGAATGCAAGATACACTTTCTTTTGCTTGGACAGGTCTCATGATTATAATCAACATGTATGAAGATGGGATGGAAGGTATCATTGAGCTTCAAACAACAATTTAATGATAGGTGTGACCCATCTTTTTTATACAATCCTAAATCGAAAACAAAACTCCTGTAGTAGCTTCAAATATCAAATGACACCCAAAATTGAAACAAAAAACTAGCTCCTTGACGTACACCAAAGAATAACTTGAGCTTTTCACAAAATCTGGCCCTCAACTTGCTAATATTTTCCTCGATTGCAAGCAAATTTGACACTTCCTCCAAAATCAGCAGCTGCTATATCATGCGTTACCATGTCATGCGTTAGAAAGCGATTTCGTTTTCTAATCAATACAGCTGATATTCTTCTGAAGTCACTACAAATTCTCACACCACAACCAATAGAAAATGCAAAATATTGTACATATCCTCTAATGTAGTACTGGACACTGTAAAAGCTCTTTGTGATCCTCACTCTGCATAAAATCCTTCAACTACAAACAAATTTTTAGTATATGTGGCATTCTTCTCTGGGAAATAGGCCTCGTTGTGTGGGACTTCAGCTGTAATTGTTCTGTACCCAATCTCCTTCAAAGTCATGACAACAATTTTGTTCCTCATTTCGTTCCTACTTGCATCACAAGCATTCAAATCCCCTATTTTGATAACTATTTTTCTACAATAAGTAATGCTCCTTTGATTTTCCTCACTTTATTGCCTCCAATAATGATTTCTAATATGTAACTTAAATTCTATTGGCATTCAATGATGTCTTCAGTAAAATATCAAAACACACTTGATTAATCCGCTTTCCATGAAGAGTACTATTTTGCCATAAACCAGTCTTAATTTCAGGTGATCACAATTAAAATTCCCTTGACGTTAAGATACACCTGAAACCTAAATTTCAAAGTGTTTTCATCTTAGACTTCATGTGTAAACAATACAAAAAACATGCATTTCCAATAAACTCCGACTTATACTGCAATTGTTTTTCACTTTTCACGTAATAGTCACGTAAATGGAGTCATATTGCTTAAAGTTATATGAATAAATGGATTCACATCGATAAATATGAAAAATGAAAGGTTTTCTATATGAAAGTACCAAAATTGCATTTGACAAATAACCTGTTCATGTGTAAAATAGAGATCCTTATCGTAAACAGCACCCCCTAGTAAAACGTGAAAGTACTACCGCTTGGACTTCTTTCCCCTTTTTGGGGGACTATTCAGGGTTACACTAGATGCCACAGCTGCGGGTGTCACTGGAGCCAAGTGTGCCGTCTCTGGAATGCCTAAAGTCCGCTTAACAGCTGGTTGACGCAGAACTGTCAAAATAGACATGATGTTAATGATTCAGACAACATTGTTAAAAAACACCACCAGTGAGAAACATGGCTATTTGCCTAGCAAGCACTTTCCTGCAAATATAATCACCAATACAAGGAGACGAGTAACACTTCATTAATGAAAAACAATGAAACAACAAAAAAAAACAACGAATGTTTTCAGGGAAAATACCGCAGATATCAGAAACCGACCACTTCATTTAGATTTTTACTTTCTACAGATTTTAACCTCACTCACAGGGTAAAAAAGACGTCAGGGTGGATAGAAGATTGTGCGCCCATAAGCAGAGTTTCTCAACATAAAAGAACAGAGCACTCTTTCCTCCACTCGAACACCCGTAATCGGCCAACTATTGCAAGTAATAATCTGAACCATGTATATTTTCCAAATGCAATACTACGAAACATGTCCACTACAAAACAATGTACAGTCCTAAATGAGGAAGAAATCCTTATTATTACCTGTGGTCTGGATTAACGAGCAAACATTTGTGGTGAGCCAGTAACAGAAGAGAGCCTGGAAACCAACATCACATGCACACTATTCAAAAATGATAGGAGGATAAATGACGTAGAAAGGTTTAAACAATATCAACCAAAAAAGGATAGGCATAGTGGGATTGTAAAACAGAGAATAAGGTTTGTTAACAAAAAGATAAGTTCGAACTTTGAAATCTTCTTTAATATTTCAATCGAAAAGCTAACACAAATTTACAGACAAATAAAACTCACTCATTACGTTTAAAGCGATGGCATTCTGCTAACAGATTGGTATAAAAAAGCAGATTAACCAATATAGTCAAATACGAGAAGATTTGGGATTCCTTACCTTGGGAAACGAGGCTGTTAATGGGACTATAAGAACTGCAAATCCCCTGAAAAACATCTTCATCTTGCCTATCATAGGTTGACCTTGCATGCCATCCATGGCTCCCAGCTACAGCTCACATTTGGTTATCAGCATGCATACATGTCACGAGACAGAAAGGATGCAAGTTATAACACAAAATAATCTAGTGAAAAGTTGGTAGGAATCACCTCTATAGTCGCAAGTGTGAAAAGACCACTCATTATGGGGAGGATAAAATACGGATCAGCAGTCGTAAGATCAGTAAACCACAAGGCACCTCCCTCTTTGAATGAAGGGACTCTTTCAGCCATATTGCGTATCTGCAACCATCAACAGCAAGCGGAAGTCAACACGCAAGATACGTCTAATGCACCTGACAAAATTTGATCTACCAGCAAGCTAATATCTTTAACCTAGGTTCCCAACTGCTACTTTCCATCAAGGAAAAATCTGAGATCAAATAAATAAATACAAAAGTAGAAAATAGAAACAAACAAAAACAACATAAATCCAACACCACCACCAATATTAATTAGATATCAAACAGCAATAAAGTTAGCTTACTGCAAAGAAAAAACTGATAAAGAGTGGAGCTTGAACAAATGCTCCCATCAACGGCATAAACGGATTTGTATTGTGTCTGCAAAACGCCACAATAAAGCATAATTAAACATAGAGCTATACGCATTTAACTTGCGACGAACCTTGAACCATGGCCATAACTCGATTTTCAAGATATTTAATGACTTCGGAGCAAGGCTAATTGCGTAGAAGCTCATTGCTCCTGCTAGTCTTCCCACACATCAAATAAGAATGAAACTGTGCATAATTTAAGAGGGACCATGGTTATGAATTACTGTGCAAATAGCTCCTTCATTCGTTTCTGATTTACTTCAGTCACCTTGGGATCGTAACCCTGCAAATAGAAAGAGAGATGAGTATTATCCATAAATACTATCTTCAATCTGTTAGATTGCTTCAAGATGAGACTTACTGTAATTTCCACAACTATGCATTAACAAGTAGCACGACTTAAGCCGCCACCTCGTTGTACAAACTATTGTCCATACGGCAAAATAAACGTATAGCAAACTTCACTAAGTTACAATACTAAGTCACAGCGTAATCTGTCTTAGAGTGACAAAACATAAAAGCCTAGTTATAGGATTCAAAACAAAACACACGACAAGAGGTTGCCACCACGAACAGAATTGAAAATTACAGGTTATTTGAATAGTTTTCGTTCGAAGGTTATTCTTGTGAAGAACACTATTCGATGATAGATCAGATGTTGACTTATTTGTGCAAAGATCTTCATGCAGCAAGTTCTAATAATAAAATCCAAGACCCTGCTAGAATTTATCTCAATTAACAATGTCATACGGTTGTTATATGCTATAATCAACAGAAAGTTTCCAGTATTAAGCGGATTTGAACGCCTTCGACTCCAACTTTCTCGGGATCATAATTAACAAGCACAACAACCACTATACGAGAGTAGAAATGAAGGGGAAACCTCACACTCTCTTTAATAGTGTTGGTAATGCGTTCAAGCTCGGGCCTCATCAGCTGCACAGCCAACATGCGAATCATTCACGCAATCGGGTAAAAAATAGGCATGGAACATACGGACAATGGCCTATTAATCCTGATCTGATGTTCTAGCATCAAAGATGTAAGTACAGAGCAGATGAAACAAAAACATGCCCTTACCGTCAGACGAGCTGTGGCTTTCATTTGCCACACAAGGACGGGCAACACCATGACTCTTATTCCCACTGTTGTAGCAGCTATCGACAACCACCTGCATCCACAAGTTTGCGAAACGGCTTGCCCATTTAAAACATCACACAAATGCATCAACTGTCTAAGTATAGTAATGACTCACCGAAACTCCGCAAACTACGACCTAGCATTATACGGCTCTCGCAGATGCATAAATTAGTAAAAACATTACGGGTCACTATCACCTGTTGATCCCCATAGGTGGATGGGAGGTTAAAATAAGGACTACACAAACTGAGCACAAACCTGGAATCAGGGTTTCGGGTTTAGGGTTTAGGGTTTAGCACTTAGAAATCACAATACACCTCTAATATCACAGTGGGCAGGCCAGATACACGACGATCGCACTTTGATTCGACCAACACTCCTAGTACATGTATCAGAAAGTCTCAGAACTAAATATGAAGTTCACCCTAAACCCTCAACCATAAACCCTGCAATATTCTCACAACATCAGAAAGTGACTATGGAATAGTGATTGAGGATTTAGATTATTCGCCTAAAATCCTTGCCAGCGTTACCACTATGCTTTTGCGAGACCTTCATGCAGAGAAGAACAGCACAATGAAGAGTAAGACGTACCAAGGCAGGCCTCCCTGTGTGTGAACGAAGTCAATGAGATGCTGCAATGCGGCAGTCGGGGCTGAACAATCAGCTGCAGCGGCGGCTACTTCACCCAACGACGACGAAGTTCCCGCACTAAGGACTTGGTCAGAAACAACCTGATCTACTCCTCCAGCAGCAACTGCTTGAACAGTATCCCCTGTCTCTCCTTCAACAAACCGCAATTCAGTGCTACTAGCAACAGCATCGGTGCTTGCATAGCACACATTCCTATGCTGAAGAAATCCCGCCGCGAAAGAGGACCTCATTCCACACCTGCCCCTAGATTGAATTCCACTCGCAGCGGCCAAATATCCAAAACCTCCCAAGGGCACGGCTGCAAAATTGGAGTTTCTGAATGGTCGGCTTGAAATGGGGGCAGTATCGTTGTCATCATCGTCCTCCTCTAGATTGGAATTCAAGCAAGAAGGCTCCGCATGTAAATGGTTCTGAGTGTGAAACCGAACACCACTGCAGGCAGAAGAAGGGTCATGGCTCTGAAGATGAGCGCCAGAATCCAGAGTAAGAAGCTAGAAAATTAAAGAAATCGAGAGCGAAGGGAAGTTCATGGAATGTGAGACCGGGTCATCGTAAAGTACTCACCTGGCGATGAGCTGATGAGTGAACAATGCTTTGGGGTGCACTCTGCGCACCAAGAAAGCCATGACGACGCAGGGAACGAAACCCTAAATGCAAATGTATCGTAAGCAGTGCCAGCAACAGATGAATAAGTCAGGCTAGAAAATGACTCGGTGATTTGAAGCAACAACCAACTCATTCCTTTGCCCAGCTCAGCCCGCACGAGCTGCTATGGAAATAACCAGGACGAAACACCGTCGAGGTTTCCGAGCATTCACATTTAGAGGGTGCGAAGTACCACACTTGGCCCCCTCGGAAAAGCTCTCTTTCACAAATCATTGTTGGCATGAAATTCCAGTTACAACTCTCGCCCTCCTGCACAGCATCTCTTCACAACTGCAGTTGAAATTAGGGCTGACGTTGCACTGAACTCATTCCCCACACTGCTATTGGACTTGAATTTGCACCCACTCATTTACCATGTCAATTAAGTTTCGCCCCCTACACCCAAGGTTGTGTACAAACTGATAGAATACCCAAGAAAAAAGAAAAAAGAAAGGTTTAAAATTCGAAAATCATAATTTGAATATAAATCATAAGGTTTAATACTTTGCATTAAGTTATGTAAAAGAAAGATATGTATGTATGTAAGTATAAACTGCAAATTAAGTGTAAAAATAAAGAAAATAATCTTAAAAAATGATTGAAAAGTTTCATAATACTTCATGAATTATAATTCAAACAAAAGGGTACATATACTTGTATAATTTGTTAGTTAGCAAGTGATGTAATCAATCAATTATATATGATAGGTATCTATATTTAAAACTTAACTTCTTTATACATAGGCTTCTTCTACTAAATAGATCTTTTGTGATATACGTTTATATCTTTTAATCTAGTGTGACACTATTATAAGGCAATCAAAATATAGCTTGGTATTTTTAATATGACTTAAAGTGTCATATAGCATCAAGAAATTAGAGTTCAATATGTCATAAAATAAGAAGGTTTAATTAACTAAATTTTATAATTTATAGTTTTTTGAGTTTGATATAACATTTTATATAAAACTTATTCATTTTAAAATTTTAGCATGTGATAACTTTCTAAAGAGTTGGAAATAATACCAAGATTAATACAAAGTGGTAAAAAGTATTTGTAGCATTTAAGATAAGACTTAGAGTTGTTAAAAAAGTATGACAAATAGCCAAAGACCAATTCTAAGATTGATAGAGATTGATAAGAGTTGTAGGAATTTGAAATGGTAGTAAAATATGGAATTAAGAATAAAATAAGCACAAACTTCAAATTCCTAGAAAAATAGCATAAGATCTCAAAAATTTATAATTAGACTAAGAATTGCTTGGGAAAAAATAATTTGAGTATAAAATGATTTTAAGATCAATAGTTTTTGAGAAAAATTATAAGAATTTATTGATGATTTTTATTTTATTTTTAAAATTTATAATTATTGATAATTTTAAAGAAGTTTAGAATTACACACATACACACACACACACGCACATATATATATATATATATATATATATAGTTTTAGAAATCATAATTTTTTATGAGATTTTGAAAGATAAAAATATATAATATTCAAAAGTATTTAAATTATAAATACATAATTTTTTTATTAAAATTAATATGCTATTTATGACTAAAATTTATTTTTGGTTTACACATAAAACTAATTAAGTTAGCAATGGGTTTAAGAGTCTCATAAAAATCTGTATTTTTTGTTTTAAATTTTATTTATATCTACTAAATTTACCTTTTTTATATAATTTTTTTTTAAAAAAAATTACTTATTGCAAATAATTGTGCAATGTAGAAGAAATAATTTCTATTAATCACAAAAGATTTATATTTATACATATATATATATATATATATATATATATATACATGTATATATATATATATATTAAATATTTAATAAAAGCATGATAGTACTTAAACAAATAAAAAACCAAGTAATTTTAGCATTTTATTTAAAGATCTTTCAAAAAATATATATATTTATTACTCTTCAAATAATTATAGCATCTTATTACAAAAGCAAAGAAAGAGAAGTACGAACAAACAATCTTGTATTTATATTATGTAAGAATAAATTATAAAAAAATACTATTAAATAAGAGTAGTAGATTTAAGGCACATGGCACAACTTTAAACTTAAAAATAGAGGAGTTAAAAAATATAAAATTTCAATCATAATAGGAACCATGCAATTGGACACAATTAACTTTCAATCTCCAAAAACAATGTCTCTTATTATTTCTAGACCCTACATCTTGTTTTACATCTCTTACACATATTAAAGTATCTAAGCATGTGATTTTTATTAGAGTTCTTTTGGATATTAGAGTTTAATTTTATAGATAAATATGTTGCATTTAAGTATAATTTAGTATATGTAATAAAGACTTATCTTGCAATGGTGGAAATTATTGATGAGTAGTTACGTGTATCAAGAATTAAATTAAAAAAACCTAACCACTCGAAGTGGTTGTAGGAGATCAAATATTAAAAATTATGTGTAGTATGATTCAATTCCAAACAAATCCTATTCTTATTAGTATTCTTTAGTTTAAATTGTATAACCTTGATATTAGTTTAAATTTGCAAAAATACATTCAAAGAAAAAATCTCAGAGAAAGTAACGAGCTCAATCTTTATTTTTAAAAAAAGCTAAGGCTTTTATATGTGCACTAAAGAAAGGTGCCACATTTATAATATATGCTACTCTAATGAAGAAATTAATAAAAAAAATTATACAAGAAATTTTACTTTAATATCAAAATTTAAAAGATGAAAAGAAAAATATAGATATACTATTTGAATATATATAGATTGCATTATAGATTTGAAAAAAAGAACTAAACTATCATATGGACTAATCTACAGCCTCACTAATAAAAAAGATAGCTTTGGAAGAATATTTTGATAAAAATATATTTTAGAATGCCATATGATATTCTAAATTATTTATTTGAAAGCTTGTATTGTTTGTAAAATAAAAAGATAGGATATTATGCATGTGCATTAATTATTGGAAATTCAACAAAATCACTAAAAAGAATGAATATCTGTTATTCTTGATTTTAGGATAATCAAAAAAACTTGATCAAGCAAAAAGTCTTCATTAAAATTAATTTGTGAGATTCTTAAAACCTTGTTTGGATTAAAAAAAGAGTTGAATAGAAGACAACATTTCAAACAAGATATGGATATTTTAAATATAATACGATGCTTTTTAATTTAATAAATGCTCTTATAATATTTTAACATATAATAAATATTAACCTTTGAAAGTGTTTAGATGAATTTTTAATCATCTATTTACATGAAAATTTAATAAATTCAAAGAATGAGGAAGAACTTAAACAACATCTATGTCTTGTATTAAAAAAAAAGTACATAAATATGGATTATATGTTAAATTAGAAAAATACCTCTTTTATCAATCATTATTAGAGTTTTTGAAATATATCATTTTTTCTAATAAAATATTTTTAGATAAAAGTAAAATAAAAAACATCTTAGAGTGGATTGTATCAAGATTGATCAATGATGTACAATGTTTATTTGGACTTCAAATTTTTTACGTAATCTTTATAGAAGGTTATTCCAAGATTGGTGTGAATCATTAAATTGAGTCATAAGTTGTTTGAGGACAAAAAGATGCAATGAAAATACCAAATTGCAATTTTTAGGTAGAGATTAGTCTAGAATAGTTAGATGAAGGCAAAAAAAAAGTGTCAGTAGAGGAAATATAGTTTAAAATAGAAAATCTAGTAAAAATTTTCATGTAGAAGGCAACTTGGGAGCATCAAATTAGCATTTTTTTAGTATCCTACGAACATCTAGAAAGAATCTAAAATATTCAAGATTCTAATATTATATGGTCTATATATAATAATAATACGATCATTTTTGATATGAGCTACCACATACAAAATACAATATATATGTAAAATGGATATATTCTGAATACATACAGGATACAACATGGATACCATATGGGTGCGGTATTGAATATGGTGTATATACAATATTAATACAATCTGGTACAAATTAAATACGTAGGCATTTATTGTACTGGAACGGAGACCATATAACGTCCAACATACAGTATAAGTGGTATAGTATCATATATTGTATGCAGAGGATGTACATGGGTATCAGGGATGCTGGATATATAACTGCCGGGTGTCAAGTGGCAGGTACCAGCCTTCCATTTTTGAAGGAGGATTGGCTGTTGATAGGGATTCGAGTTGGATTTCAAGTTTTTTTTTTTTTTTTTTTTTTTTTTTTGTAGAGCTTTGAAATTGGTGGAGGTTTAGGGTTTTTTTTAGATTTGGTTGTGAGGTTGATCTACTTATTTCTTTCAACTACACAAATTTTTGCTGCAAATTCTAAACTTCTTCTATAGGCATAAGCATGGTACTTCCATGATTCATATTGAAAATACATGAAATTTCCAATTTTAGAGTATTGACAAGCTCATGAAGATCTGTAATAGTTGTAAATCTATTTTTACTTTTGTTGAGAGTAGCATCTATAATCTTTTTTTTCATAGACAACTCAAACAAATTCAAAAAGTTAAATTATAAGAGGGTAATTTGCAACCTGTAATAAAAAATTTCACAAAAAGAGAAGAAAATTAGTATTATTTATTTATTTATTTATTTATTTATTTTTTAAATAATTGATAGTTTGTAATCTTCAAAATATAATAATAGAAGTAAAATAATCCACTTACTTTTAAAAAAAGATAAAATAATAAGTTAGCACTCTTATCAAAACTATTAAGGACATGAATTTCAAAAAATGAAATCCTCAATATATTCTTATGATACTAAAAAGAACTAGAAAGTCACTCAAAGATGATATATTACTAAATTAGAATGGCTATTGCTAAAAACAAGAAGATTAGAAAGTCTTGAAATAAGACTAAGGACTAGAAAGGTGTTGATAAGAGTGAAAAATGCTTCATTCTTGCCTCCATATATATTCTTAACTAGGAGTATCTAAGTATGTGTGTGATACATCTTCTGATACCTTGTTGTACCAAAAATTAGATATCTCTCAATTGAATTGTTAAAATAATACAAAATTTTATATACACTTAGCATACTTAATTATTTAAGCATTGTCAACTTTTGAACTATGGATGTGATACCAATTGCACAAATTAGCCAAAAGTGCTAGCCTTAATTGTATTGCATAAATATGAAGTCATTGATATAAATCCTAACTTTGAATAACAATTGCTAAGTCTTCTCAAATCCTATAAAAACAAGCCTAATTTCTTTGAAATAAACT